CTATCACTCTATTAGAGACCTGAAGGACCAGATACCCTATAGAATCATTCTATCACCCTATTAACCTGAAGGACCAGATACCCTATAGAATCATTCTATCACCCTATTAGAGACCTGAAGGACCAGATACCCTATAGAATCATTATACCACCCTATTAGAGACCTGAAGGACCAGATACCCTATAGAATCATTCTATCACCCTATTAGAGACCTGAAGGACCAGATACCCTATAGAATCATTCTATCACCCTATTAGAGACGTGAAGGACCAGATACCCTATAGAATCATTCTATCACCCTATTAGAGACCTGAAGGACCAGATACCCTATAGAATCATTCTATCACCCTATTAGAGACGTGAAGGACCAGATACCCTATAGAATCATTCTATCACCCTATTAGAGACCTGAAGGACCAGATACCCAATAGAATCATTCTATCACTCTATTAGAGACCTGAAGGACCAGATACCCTATAGAATCATTCTATCACCCTATTAGAGACCTGAAGGACCAGATACCCTATAGAATCATTCTATCACCCTATTAAAGACCTGAAGGACCAGATACCCTATAGAATCATTCTATCACCCTATTAGAGACCGGAAGGACCAGATACCCTATAGAATCATTCTATCACCCTATTAACCTGAAGGACCAGATACCCTATAGAATCATTCTATCACCCTATTAGAGACCTGAAGGACCAGATGCCCTATAGAATCATTCTATCACCCTATCAGAGACCTGAAGGACCAGATACCCTATAGAATCATTCTATCACCCTATTAGAGACCTGAAGGACCAGATACCCTATAGAATCATTATATCACCCTATTAGAGACCTGAAGGACCAGATACCCTATAGAATCATTCTATCACCCTATTAGAGACCTGAAGGACCAGATACCCTATAGAATCATTCTATCACCCTATTAGAGACCTGAAGGACCAGATACCCTATAGAATCATTCTATCACCCTATTAGAGACCTGAAGGACCAGATACCCTATAGAATCATTCTATCACCCTATTAACCTGAAGGACCAGATACCCTATAGAATCATTCTATCACCCTATTAGAGACCTGAAGGACCAGATACCCTATAGAATCATTCTATCACCCTATTAGAGACCTGAAGGACCAGATACCCTATAGAATAATTCTATCACCCTATTAACCTGAAGGACCAGATACCCTATAGAATCATTCTATCACCCTATTAGAGACCTGAAGGACCAGATACCCTATAGAATCATTATACCACCCTATTAGAGACCTGAAGGACCAGATACCCTATAGAATCATTCTATCACCCTATTAGAGACCTGAAGGACCAGATACCCTATAGAATCATTCTATCACCCTATTAGAGACGTGAAGGACCAGAAACCCTATAGAATCATTCTATCACCCTATTAGAGACCTGAAGGACCAGATACCCTATAGAATCATTCTATCACCCTATTAGAGACGTGAAGGACCAGATACCCTATAGAATCATTCTATCACCCTATTAGAGACCTGAAGGACCAGATACCCTATAGAATCATTCTATCAACCCTTTAAGTTCAAAGTTCTCTTTTCTGTTGCTGCTGTTCAATAAAAGTAGGTTTTAAGATCATATGAGGTGAGAACATTATACTTTAAAGTAGGGATGCACGATATAATCGGCCCCCTATCGGTATCGGCCTTAAAACTGAATATCGGACATCGGCCACCCCACCGATATTTAACCCGATATTTGATCAGCTTCTGAGATTCTAAAGTCTAAAAAAAAAACATAAATACTTCTTCTTCTTCCTCAAAAACTTCTTTTTTACAGACTTAAAAACTTCTAAAGACGAGGGAAAAAATATTGATACATTAAAATATCCCAATATCTTCATATGCTGATATATTGCCATTTAAAAACACCATATCAATCTCTTTTACTAATGAAATATTGCTATATGTCATCGTTATGCTACGAAATCCCCCGAAAATTCACCAAATGTTGCCATATTTTTATATGTTTGTATATTGACGCGGTATCGATCTATTTTACTAACAAAATCTCACAAGAATTTGCAAAATATCACGAGAGTTTGTAACAGAACGATGAAATTTCATGAGATTTTGAAAGTAAAATAGATCGATACCGCGTTTTTAAAAATCTATTTGATATCAGCATATGAAAATATATTTGAGTTTATTATTTTTCGAAGTGTCAGAAATGGATAACAAAACTGCTATTTTCAATGACTACTTATTTTTGTCCAGCTTTAACATCGGTATCGATATCGGTTATCGGCTACATGAGTTTTAAAATATCGGCATATCGGATATCGACCAAAATCCCAATATTGTGCATCCCTAATTAAAAGCGTCCCTATATGGCCCATTTACTGATTTAATGAAGAATTAAAAAATAAAATTCCGAAGTTGATAGGACTGCAGCAACCAGCGGACCTCCAAGGGTAATGGCAGCAAGGGCTAACATTAGCCCGTCTGCAGCAGCCAGGGATAACATTAGCCCGTCTGCAGCAGCCAGGGCTAACATTAGCCCGTCTGCAGCGGCCAGGGCTAACGTTAGCCCGTCCGCAGCGGCCAGGGCTAACGTTAGCCCGTCCGCAGCGGCCAGGGCTAACGTTAGCCCGTCTGCAGCGGCCACGGCTAACGTTACACTGAAAAAAAATCGACATTTAGATAACTCATTTTTTCATAAAATAAGTGTATTTGTTTTTGGATTGAAAAGAGACATTTTGTCAGTGGAACAAAACAATTTACACTTTAAATAAGAAAACATAATTGTATTGTCTTATTTCAAGTGCATATTATACAATTAATTTTTTCTTAAAAAGTCATTTTTTCTTAAAAAAGGGGATTTTTTTCTTGAATTTAGGAGGTAAGACCATTTAAAATAAGAAAAAAACAATTGAATTGTCTTTTTTGAAGTGCATATTTTCCAATTATCTTATTTTAAGAGTAAAAATACAAATTCGATTACCAAACTATCTCATTTACCTCCTTAAATTAAGGATAACTACACTTAATTTAAGACATTTTTGCTTATTTAAGCAAAAATCCGGGAGATTGTTTTTCCAGTGTAGCCTGCCTGCAGCAGCCCTCTCTGCATAGCCGTGTGTGAAGGACCGCTGGCTCTGATGGCGAGTTTTTTGTTTTATTTCACAAAATGGCTCATTTGATTTGTATTTATCTGACTGTGTTCATTACTATTCCCCCAATAAATGAAGAAAGTCAGAATTTATTATTATCTAGAGACTATTAATAACAGGAGGTGAAATGCAGCTCCAGACGAGCTGAGCGTGTGGTGATGTCATCAGTACGCTTCTCTTCCATATTATGCTGCGTGCTCCCATTCTCCCACATTCCAGGTTTTCCTGTGTTCTTCTCCAGAACGTGCTGGGCGAGGACACGAGTCCGTACTCGTGTTCTTGTGAACTGGGAAATGGCCCATGTCTCTGTAAGCTCAAATAAAACAGTGCATCATTCTAACCTATGTAGGCCATCACTCTGCCCATGTACTCGGTCCAATGACCCCTCCTGTAGGAACGCTTCACAGAATCCGGAAGAGTCTGACCTGGAAGGCACCTAAAATCCAGGCAAAATGAATAATGAAAAAAAGTTCATAAACTTCCCCATGTTCTGATGACATATAATTAAACTTTTATGACTTACCTGATGACCCAGATGTCACTGTTGTCATCCACCACAGTGTGATCAAAGTCAAACACCATCAGAATCTTCATTTTTACTTTTTATCAGCACTTTTCAAACAACCTGCTTCCAAAAAACAAAAATATTTCATTCGGAGGACAGAAACATTTATGACCTGCTCTTTACTGAACTGAATTATTATGTCAAAACAAATCGAAACAGAAAGAAACTCGATAAAACGACTTAAATCACTGAATCTTTAAGGCCGATCAGAAAACTTCATTTTTATTAATCATTCTCATATTTTATTTTTTTTGAATTTGTCCATAAAAACTCACTTTAACTGTTTTGACAATAAAATGACAAATTTTTAAACAGAAGTCTGGTTCAACAGGGTTCCGTGGCAAATAAACCCGGTAAATTCATGTGTCGGTAATTTAAATTGGTAACATTAAATAGTTTACAGTAATGGATAGACCAGATATTTGTATGATGATATAATTTAACAATATAAAAGAAATGAAAACAAGGGAAATGACAGCGAAACCAACCCTTATCTGTCAGTCATCAAGCCGCCGGCTGAGAAAGCTTTCATCTTCCTCGCGCTGTGGATGGTCATCTGTTTTCTGCTAATTACCGCCCCCTGTTGGGTAAAAACAGATTTTATACCGTTTCTTTTTTTATTTCTTTATTTTTTGACAGAAATTTTGTTTAATCAGAGGTGGGCAGAGTACACAAACATTTTACTTGAGTATAAGTAGGACTATACTATATTGTCACATTTTTACCCAAGTAAAAAGTAGCCTTTAAAGAAAGTATTTTATTACTCAAGTACTGTAACTGATCTTGATACGACAACTGATTCAATATTTTGCAAACTAATGTAAAAATGAAAAAAATCCTACGTGTTAGGACACTTTTGATCTTTGAAAGAATAAAATAAAAACCTCTAACCTATAATACTTACCCATTAAAGATGTTAATGGAATATAAACTCTTCAAAATATTTTTTTTAAGATGTAGAACTCCCAAATAGTCAATCATTAGTTACCGTATTTAAGAATATTTTTAATATTCTTAATATTAAATAATAATTATTATTATTATTATTATTATTATTATTATTATTATTATTATTATTATTATTATTATTATTATTATTATTATTATTATTATTATGGTATAATGATAACAATAGTATAATAATAATTACTATTATTATTATTATTTTCTGATTTATTAGGTTGCAGTAATAAGGAAGTAAACAAATCTCATTACCGTCTTGTGACCACTGGGCGGCAGTAGCGAGCCACCGCCACACATTCCACAGAGAAGAAGAACTCTGATGACGCACCTCTTCCTGGTTGCATCAAAACCATTTTTTTTTTTGGTGCTGTTTGAGTTCGTAGCCAGCGTCCCTTTTGTGATATTTGTTTGTTCTCCTGGTTTGTTGTTTTATCGGAGCAGGATGTTTAAAGGGTTCGGGACGTGGCTGGGTTTGGAGAAAACGTCAGAGGAGCAGGAGGAGAAGGAGGAGAAGGAGGTGGTTGAAGCCCAGAATGAGGTAAACAAACAGCAAGCAGCTGAGCGCGATGATGAGCCAGAAGAGACGATCGGAGGAGCTCCAGACCACAGTAAAGGACTCGGTGGTGAGGAAAAAACTGTTATTGTTATAAATGTAGCTTTTGGTTAAAGTTAGGAAGCAGCTGAGGTTTACTTCCACTCTGCTGGTTATGAAAGATGGAGGACTTGTTTATTTCTGGCTTTCAGCTTTTTGTTTGAACTGTTTTTCCTCATTAAACATTTTATTTGGATCTTTGTGAAACAGCAATCATGTGTCCCAGCAGATCCCAGGGAAATCTAGCTTTTAAATCAACTGAAAGTTGAAGAGTCAGTTTTTAAAGATGTATTCAGTCCAAGATGGTCGATCAAAACAATCCTAAATAAGTATTAAATATTAACAGACCTCAGCTGTCAGTCACCTCAGAGCTCCACTGAAGCCACTGCTGGAAGGCTGGCTTCACTAAACCGGCCTGACGGTCAAACTTCAAAGCTTCTCCTGGACAAAAGATGTATGATCAAAGGTTGAACTATTTGTCTAAAAGGCAGAAAAAAGTTCCAGTGAGTCAAGAACAGGTTCTAAAACGTTCCCTGCTTTCCTTGATGGGTTCTTAGCTGGCCCCTGACTGGTCCTTAGCTGGTCCTTAGCTGGCCCCTGACTGGTCCTTGGCTGGTCCTTAGCTGGCCCCTGACTGGTCCTTGGCTGGTCCTTAGCTGGCCCCTGACTGGTCCTTGGCTGGTTCTTGGCTGGTCCTTAGCTGGTCCTTGGCTGGTCCTTGGCTGGTCCTTGGCTGGTCCTTGGCTGGTTCTTGGCTGGTCCTTAGCTGGTCCTTGGCTGGTTCTTGGCTGGTCCTTAGCTGGTCCTTGGCTGGTCCTTAGCTGGCCCCTGACTGGTCCTTGGCTGGTTCTTGGCTGGTCCTTAGCTGGTCCTTGGCTGGTCCTTGGCTGGTCCTTGGCTGGTCCTTGGCTGGTTCTTGGCTGGTCCTTGGCTGGTCCTTGGCTGGTTCTTGGCTGGTCCTTAGCTGGTCCTTGGCTGGTCCTTAGCTGGTCCTTGGCTGGTCCTTAGCTGGTCCTTGGCTGGTCCTTGGCTGGTCCTTGGCTGGTCCTTGGCTGGTCCTTAGCTGGTCCTTGGCTGGTCCTTGGCTGGTCCTTGGCTGGTTCTTGGCTGGTCCTTAGCTGGTCCTTGGCTGGTCCTTGGCTGGTCCTTAGCTGGTCCTTGGCTGGTCCTTGGCTGGTCCTTAGCTGGTCCTTGGCTGGTCCTTGGCTGGTCCTTGGCTGGTCCTTAGCTGGTCCTTGGCTGGTCCTTAGCTGGTCCTTGGCTGGTCCTTAGCTGGTCCTTGGCTGGTCCTTGGCTGGTCCTTAGCTGGTCCTTGGCTGGTCCTTGGCTGGTCCTTGGCTGGTCCTTGGCTGGTCCTTAGCTGGTCCTTAGCTGGTCCTTGGCTGGTCCTTGGCTGGTCCTTAGCTGGTCCTTGGCTGGTCCTTGGCTGGTCCTTAGCTGGTCCTTGGCTGGTCCTTAGCTGGTCCTTGGCTGGTCCTTGGCTGGTCCTTAGCTGGTCCTTAGCTGGTCCCTGACTGGTCCTTAGCTGGTCCTTAGCTGGTCCCTGGCTGGTCCTTGGCTGGTCCTTAGCTGGTCCTTAGCTGGTCCTTGGCTGGTCCTTAGCTGGTCCTTGGCTGGTCCTTGGCTGGTCCTTAGCTGGTCCTTAGCTGGTCCCTGACTGGTCCTTAGCTGGTCCTTAGCTGGCCCCTGACTGGTCCTTGGCTGGTCCTTAGCTGGTCCTTGGCTGGTCCTTGGCTGGTCCTTGGCTGGTCCTTAGCTGGCCCCTGACTGGTCCTTAGCTGGTCCTTAGCTGGTCCTTGGCTGGTCCTTGGCTGGTCCTTAGCTGGTCCTTGGCTGGTCCTTGGCTGGTCCTTGGCTGGTCCTTAGCTGGTCCTTGGCTGGTCCTTGGCTGGTCCTTGGCTGGTCCTTGGCTGGTCCTTGGCTGGTCCTTGGCTGGTTCTTGGCTGGTCCTTGGCCGGTCCTTGGCTGGTCCTTGGCTGGTCCTTGGCTGGTCCTTAGCTGGCCCCTGACTGGTCCTTAGCTGGTCCTTAGCTGGTCCTTGGCTGGTCCTTAGCTGGTCCTTGGCTGGTCCTTGGCTGGTCCTTGGCTGGTCCTTAGCTGGTCCTTGGCTGGTCCTTGGCTGGTCCTTGGCTGGTCCTTGGCTGGTCCTTGGCTGGTCCTTGGCTGGTTCTTGGCTGGTCCTTGGCCGGTCCTTGGCCGGTCCTTGGCTGGTCCTTGGTCCTTTTAAAGGGGTAACATGGGCAGGAGGAAAAACCTAAAGGATGATGATGATACGATGATGATGGTGATGATGATGATGGTGATGATGATGATGATGGTGATGCTGATGATGATGATGGTGATGATGATGATGGTGATGATGATGATGATGGTGATGATGATGGTGATGATGATGATGGTGATGATGATGATTATGGTGATGCTGATGATGGTGATGGTGATGGTGAGGATGATGATGGTGATGATGATGATGATGATATGTACTGAAAGAGAAGCACAAGAAGAACGGCTTACTTCCAAGCTATTGGACGTTAATTTTCTGATTTCTGTGGTTTTACTTTAGTGTTTCTTTACTGTGGTCTCTACTAGAACAAACTGGGTCACAGGAGAAGTTGCTGGTTCTATTCTGGTCGGCTCTTTGTTCCCATGGTGCGTATTAACACTCTGCTTCTCTTCTGCTTCCTCCGTCTGAAGGCTTCATCTTCAGTTTTGCGTCCAGCGCCACCAAGAAGTTGTCGGAGTCGGTGGTTGGGACGGCTCAGACCATCAGGAAGACGGTGGAGGAAGGGAAGATCGACGGCATCATAGATAAGGCACTTTACCCTCCTCTGCTTTATGGGATGTTGTTTCTACACAGATGAGTTTGTGTGGTTTTGTGTGAGGGCGCCGATCGCCTCATCGTCTGACAGGCGGGTGAATGACGGCGTCTCTGCTGTTGGTGTATTTGCAGACCATCCTGGGAGACTTCCAGAAGGAGCAGGAGAAGTTTGTCCAAGAGAAGAAGTCCAGACGATCAGGTAGGAACAGCTCAGAGGGACGTCATCAGTGCATCGTTTGCTGTTTGATTACAGATAACTTTTCAAAACTTGCTTAAACACACAGATAAGTAGGTTTAATTTTCCCTTTGTTGGTATAAAAACATAAAATATACTGAATCCTCTTTTTTTTTTGTCTTAAGACATTTTAGACAAGATAATACAGATTGAACTGATTACAAGTCTTTCATAAATAGTTAAATATCCTTAGCTCTCTGGTATTTACAGCATTTAAGCTGCAAACAGCATCCATATTGAAATAATTAACATGTTATTTTAAAGTCTAAATAAGGAGAATGTCTGTGTTTGCAGCCTCCTGTCTGCATCTGTGATGCCATCAGTGGTTTGCGATACTCAAAGTGGGCTCCAGTTGGACAGATTCTCCTCTTGATTTTCTCTATTCTGTTGCTACATCACGTCTTTATCGGCGTGTATAGAAATAATCGGCCAGTTTGGACGAAGGAAGGAGTAGAAAGTACAGATATTTGTGTTCAAACTTGCAGTAACTAATTATTTAAACCTACTTACTTGACACCTCTGGTGGCGATGTTCCCGATTCGCAGCGGCAGTGATGCATGCGAGTAGAAGCCAGCACCTTCCTACGGAAGACGATTAGGGCCACTGAAAAAAAAAAAAAGTTAACTGATTTTTTTATTTTTTTTTGAGAATAGAACGGGAAAAGTTTTTCTCAGAATTTTGACTTTTTTATTGTCACAATTCTGAGATGAAAGTCGGAATTCTGAGAAAAAAGTCGGAATTCTGAGAAAAAAGTCGGAATTCTGACTTTTTTCTCAGAATTCTGACTTTAATCTCCGAATTCTGACTTTTTCTCCGAATTTTGACTTTTTTCTCCGAATTTTGACTTTAATCTCCGAATTCTGACTTTTTTCTCAGAATTTTGACTTTTTTCTCAGAATTTTGACTTTTTTTCTCAGAATTCTGACTTTAATCTCAGAATTCTGACTTTTTCTCAGAATTTTGACTTTTTTTCTCAGAATTTTGACTTTTTTTCTCAGAATTCTGACTTTTTCTCAGAATTTTGACTTTTTTTCTCAGAATTTTGACTTTTTTTTCTCAGAATTTTGACTTTTTTCTCAGAATTTTGACTTTTTTCTCAGAATTTTGACTTTTTTTATTGTCACATTTCTGAGATTAAAGTCGGGATTCTGAGAAAAAAGTCGGAATTCTGAGAAAAAAGTCGGAATTCTGAGAAAAAAGTCGGAATTCTGAGAAAAAAGTCAGAATTCTGAGAAAAAAGTCAGAATTCTGAGAAAAAAAGTCAGAATTCTGACTGTAGGTTTGGTTTAGTTTATTTTTATTAGGATCCCCATTAGCTGCCAAATAAATGGCCACTAATCTTCCTGGGGTCCTCACATAAAGAAATTACATTACTTTATGAACAAACCATTAAAAACACATTAGGAAATAATAGGAACATGAAAAAGAGTAAAATATACAATATACACAGGTCAGTTCGTTCTGAAGCATCTTTTTGAAGCTTGTTGTGTTCTGGACTCTTGGCGTGTTTATTGGCCGTTGGTTTTCAGGGACACACTTGAAAAATGATGTAGAAACAAGTAAAAATGTCTTAAATTAAGTGTATTTAACTTTAATTTGAGGAGATAAATGAGCTATTTTGCCAATTGAATGAGTATTTTTACTTTTAAAATAAGATAATTAGATAATATGTACTTGAAAGAAGACATTTCAATTGTCTTTTCTTATTTTAAGTGTAAATTGTCTTGTTCCATTGGCAAAATGGCTCCTTTGCCTCCTAAATCCAAGAGCAAATGCACTTATTTTAAGGAAAAAATAAACTTATCTAGATTTAGATTTTTTTTCTGTGCATATGGCTCAATAATACACTGTGGATTTTAGATAGTTTGTGCCCGCCTTGTTAAATAATTATGACTTTTTTCAAGAAGGACTAAATGTTCGGCAAAAAGTTAAGGCTGTTTTTGAAAGAAAACATTCCATATAAATAGGAGAATTCTTAATTTAAGTTTATAAGTAACTTTTAACCATTAAAAAGCCGTCTATGCATTGAAGCCACATTTGTTCTTTGTGAGCTCTGAACTCTGGTGATATTAGTTAGAAAGCAGGTTCCTCCGTTAACATAAGGCACCAGAACTAATTTGAAGCTACTTAATATATAGATCTGTGAATCATTAAGGAATCCCACCTGAGCAGGTGTGTTTTTCAGCGATCAGACTGTGTGACTCACTGTGTCCCTGTGTGCTGATGTCTGTGTAGAAGCAGCAGTGCCTCCCTGGGTGGGCTACAACGAGGAAGAGACCATCCAGCAGCAGATCCTGGCTCTTTCCGCCGTGAGCAGCAGTCACACCCCCCTCTGATGCGTCACCGTGTCATCCTAAATGCCTTATATCCCATCTCTGGGTTCTCTGGTTCTAGGACAAGCGGAACTTCCTGCGCGACCCTCCGGCCGGCGTCCAGTTCCACTTCGACATGGAGCAGATGTACCCGCTGGCTGCCGTCATGCTGGAGGAGGACCAGCTTCTCAACCGCATGCGCTTCGACCTAGTTCCCAAACAGTAAGGCTTTACAGCTGCGAAGGGTCAGAACTTCCAGAACCAGTCAGGGGTTTGCTTTGGGATGCTGAATGGGAGAACATCCAGGCTGCTCTGCTGCTTAAATAACAAATTAATGAATCAGTTTAAACAGCAGTCGTCGTCTTTAAAGTGTTCCAGTAAATTAGATTTGACTGAGAATCATCTGATGGGATATTAATCCTGATCAAAGCCAAAAAAAAGGTCAGAAACCAGCGGAGGAGCTGAAATGACCAGGATCTCCATTGGTTCTCCTTGGACAGGGTGAAGGAGGAGGTGTTTTGGAGGAATTACTTCTACAGGGTGTCTCTGATCAAACAGTCGGCTCAGCTCACCGCGCTGGCCGCCCACCAGCAGCAGAAGGAGGGCGGAGACGGCGTTTCACCTGATGACATCGTCTTAAAAGGTTTGAGTCGTTACATTCCATCCAATGGCTTCATGACCGGTAATGTGCTTTAGGGGAGTTTAAAGCTTTCCTTTAGGTGATGGAAACGTCCAGGTCTGGATAGGACTGGAAAATCAGAGAAATATTGGCTTTGTTTGGATTTACAACAGCCTGGTTAAAGAAAACTCAGTAATAATCGGATTCAGTGTGTTTCTGGCCTTTACAATAAAGACCGTCTGGATTGAGCTCAGCAGTCTGGAGCTCCCTTTCTACCCTGGATAGAGTTTGTTGCTATCGACCCTGTGAAAGGTGAAGGGTAGCAGTTAGCAACAGGAGCTACAGTCTGAGGTACACAGATTGAGCCTTAAGGCTGATTTATGCTCAGAAACTAGATTGTCTGCGTGTGTCGCAGTGAAGTCAGATATGCCCCGCCCCTACCGCAGACACTCTCCTGCACCTCTCCAATATTGTAGGTGACCGCAGACAGGAGGCCTCTGATTGGTCAGATCTGCATCCGCTCTACTCTATGCGTATTTCCTGTTTGGTTCCTTACCGGCTTGTTTTGTTTGTCTGACCGCCATTTTGGAAAACGACTGAAGATGGAGCAGCTAGTAGGGGTGTAAATAATAATCGTTTCGTATCGATGCATCGATCCAACAGCCGACGATCCGATGCATCGACATGTCCGAAAGAGAATCGATTCATTTTTTTTTTTCCTCCGGTCTATTTTTATCCATTTGCTCCTGGGCGTAATTCTCCCTCCCGTGCTGCGGTGGCGCTAAACCTATTTTGCCCTCCTACCTCGCTTCCTGGTTATACTCTTACAGCAGTGTGTTGCAGTGAGCTTGATGCAGACATTTTTGATTTATGCTCAATATTGAAGCGTGGTCTGTGCTACACGCTGTGAGTCTAGATACGGCCGAGGCGGCGAGGAAGTGGGGGCGAGTTTAGTCAGACGACGGAGGGACATGAGGGCCAAAAAGAGCGGAGATCCAGGTGGAAAAAGGGTCCCAGTGTTCTCGCGCACCTCGCTCTTCTAGCGGGTCAAACTTCACGAGTTGTTTTACGCAATTTCGGTCATAAAAACAAAGCAAGCCGGCCTCCTGTCTGCGGTCAGCTACAATTAGAGGAGCAGCGGAGCGTCTGTGGAGGGGGCGGGGCGTCTAGAGCCGAGGTATTGAAGCAGAATCTATAACGCAGGGGTATTATTATTTATCAGTGAATGAGGATTTAATAGGAAAAGGTGGAGTACAACTTTTCTACTTCTGTTATTTGCTGTTGTTTCTCAAAAAAAAAAAAAAAAAAAGCATAACGATGTTACAGCTTTCATTGATTTATTTCAAATTTGAAACATTTGCACCTGTAAGGTGTAAAAAAAAAAAAAAAAAAAAAAAAAAAGAACCAATTAATCGAATCGTATCGTGGTGTGTTCTTCAATATTGAAAATAATCACATCGTCAAGAAATCGATACTGAATCGAATCGCCATGATGGATGTGATTTACACCCCTACCAGCTAGCAGAGCGAGGTGCGCGAGAACGCTGGGACCCTTTTCCCACCTGGATCTCCGCTCTTTTTGGCCCTCATGTCCCTCCGTTGTCGCACAAACTTGCCTCCACTTCCTCTCCGCCTCGGCCGTATCTAGACCCACAGCTAGTTCCTGATTGGCCCTCTGGCGTTGTGGCGTGGAATAACATAGTGCAGAAATCAAAAATATCTGCAACTAGCTCACTGCGACACACTGCTGCGGAGGAGAACCAGACCTTAAGGGTGCCAGGATCACACTGGAAAAACAATCTAGAAATAAGTTAAAAAAAATTTAAATTAAGTGTATTTACCATTGATCTGAGTAGGTAAATGAGATAGTTTGCCGGTGGAATGAATCATTTTACACTTAAAGTAAGATCGATTCTTATTTTAAATCTAAATTGTCTTGTTCCATCGGCAAAATGTCTCTTTTATCTCCTCAATTCAAGAACAAAAACACTTATCAAGATTTAGATTTTTTGCAGCGTAGCAGCTGTTGTTCTGGTTTGAACCACTAGGTGTCATTATTCCTTAAAGGAGAATTCCGGTTTTTAACACTTTTAGCCCATTTTCTGTAGTGTCCAGGATGAAATCGAATGATCGACACCAAAATTTTGACAATTGGTCCTGTCTCTGCTATTTGGCTCATGCAGAATCCCCCCCTGGCTGCTTCAGAATGGCTTCCATAGTGCATGTCCGATAATGTCCTTAAAACAACCTTAAACGTTCTTTTTTTAAAATATGCTACTCACCGGGTCGTCAGCGCTGTTCAATGACGTTCCAAAAAAAGTTTCGTAAAGAAAAAACGTTCCTGTAGTGTTTTATTTAGCATTTTGTAAATCCCATTGAGTTCTGTTGGAATAGTCAATATTCCCCTGCCACCAGAAATGGAAATGGAGCCTGTTTACACAGTTGTAGTCTTTTCGCTTCACTCTGTGTACTCCGACGTCGAGAATCAAGAATCCACCTTTCGTATTCCATTTTCAGAGTTTTTTAAAGTGTTTAACAGAGACGTTAGCACCTCGACGTCGGAGTACACAGAGTGAAGCAGAAAAGATTACAACTGTGTAAACAGGCTCCATTTCCATTTCTGGTGGCAGGGGAATATTGACTATTCCAACAGAACTCAATGGGATTTACAAAATGCTAAATAAAACACTACAGGGACGGTTTTTCTTCACGAAACTTTTTTTGGAACGTCATTGAACAGCGCTGATGACCCGGTGAGTAGCATATTTTAAAAAAAGAACGTTTAAGGTTGTTTTAAGGACATTATCGGACATGCACTATGGAAGCCATTCTGAAGCAGCCAGGGGGGGATTCTGCATGAGCCAAATAGCAGAGACAGGACCAATTGTCAAAATTTTGGTGTCGATCATTCGATTTAATCCTGGACACTACAGAAAATGGGCTAAAAGTGTTAAAAACCGGAATTCTCCTTTAATGCTCTTTTTATGTACAGTTTTGCAAAGATGTTTCTCATCCAGACTTAGAGCTCTTTAACTTTAGTGTGGATAAGGAATAACTTGACATTAAAAAACAGTTTAGGATCTTTGGAGACTTTTTTCAGTCAGCCAGTCAGTCAGATGCACCATTATTAGAGCTGTATTTTAACTGACATCACCCACCTGTGCACCACGTTATAAAACAGAACAGGTGAAGGACATTTTTCCCAATGGAGACCGAGTTCAAAGTCAGAAAATAGACTTTAGAGTGTTTTTCTAACTGAGGCCTTAAAAGGCCATTCTTTTTGTAAGGTTAGCAGCTCTTTTTGTTTTCATACTGAAAGCAGTTCAACGTAAAGCAACTCTATAAAAGTGATTCGCACAAGAAACGCCTGTTTTTTCCTGTTTTTTGTTTTTGTTTTTTTTACTTCAAGTTAAAAGAGGATCATTATTTTACCTCATCTGTTTTCTGTTGCTCCTACCGCCGGTTAAATATACTGTTCTTTTTTTTAATTGCGTATTTTATCTACCCTAAATGCTGCAAACACACCAAAGTTTCCCAACAGGTGAACCTGCCTGGTTTATATTGTGATTCAGAGATTTTATTTTGCATTTTCCCCAAAGCTGATGAGTTTTAATTTGCCGCCGCATCTCTTCCTGTCTGAATCGTGACATTGAGGTCGGCCTCAATCAGAGCCACGCATGCTAACCAGGCCTTTTAAATTAGATCTATGTGCCATGACTTCATACGTACCAATTTTTCCGGTTCAGGTGACAAAGAAGCAGCTGAGATACAGAATTAAAAATGTGTTTAATTTACCGCCTAGGAATGCGGCTATCTTTCTATTGATTTAAATGATCAGCAGCTGGTTTAAGATCTGAACCCTTAAACATGGTTGTGCTGCTTTGCAGACAACGTCAGACCAAAAACTCCACCGGTTTCCATCAGCGACATTCAGAAGGTAATATCGCTAAACGATCGAGAATTTTATAGATGAACAAAGAGAAGATCGGTGGTTTAACTTTTCCTGAACTGTCTGCTTGAACCCTAGGCCCCTCATGAGGAGGAGGAAGAGATTTCAACAAGTCCTGGAGTTTCCGAGTTTGTCAGCGACGCTTTTGACTCGACAGCGATCAACCATGAGGACCTGAGGAAAGAGATGGAGCAGCTGGTGCTGGACAAGAAGGACAGCGTCCCTTCTGCTGATGGTCAGCCCCGTCGTCACGATCTGTTTTTTTTTTAAAGCTGCAAATGTAAAATGGTTTGGATTATTGGAAGGGATGCACGATATAATCGGCCCCCTATCGGTATCGGCCTTAAAACTGAATATCGGACATCGGCCACCCCACCGATATTTAACCCGATATTTGATCAGCTTCTGAGTTTCTAAAGTCTAAAAAAAAATAAATAAATAAATACTACTTCTTCATCAAAAACTTCTTTTTTACAGACTTAAAAACTTCTAAAGACGAGGGAAAAAATATTTATCCATTAAAATATCCCAATATCTTCCTATGCTGATATATTGCCATTTAAAAACACCATATCAATCTCTTTTACTAATGAAATATTGCTATATGTCATCGTTATGCTACGAAATTCCCCGAAAATTCACCAAATGTTGCCATATTTTTATATGTTGATATATTGACGCGGTATCGATCTATTTTACTAACAAAATCTCACAAGAATTTGCAAAATATCACGAGAGTTTGTAACAGAACGATGAAATTTCACCAGATTTTGAAAGTAAAATAGATCGATTCCGCGTTTTTAAAAATCTATTTGATATCAGCATATGAAAATATATTTGAGTTTATTATTTTTCAAAGGTGTCAGAAATGGATAACAAAACTGCTATTTTCAATGACTACTTATTGTTGTCCAGCTTTAACATCGGTATCGATATCGGTTATTGGCTACATGAGTTTTAAAATATCGGCATATCGGATATCGGCCAAAATCCCAATATCGTGCATCTCTATTTATTGGATTAGGCTTCGTTTGAGGAAGTGGGATTAATCAGAGCAGGTGAACCAATCAGCTGACATAACTTTGAGCAGAGTGAGTTTAGGTTGATGTTGGGCCTAATAAGGCCTCATCAATGGAACAAAGTAAAAATTATCCACCAATGGGAGGAAATGAGACGTCTCAAAGTGCTCATTCTGGTTGGTGGAACCACATATGGAGATTATAAAAACATGTTTTATGCAAAAATTCTATTCAGTTTATTTCTATAGCTCCAATTCACATCATGTCATCTCAGGTCACTTTCCAGTTCAACCAGATCATTCAGTCAAAGCGATTCAAAGTTTTCTATCTAAGGAAAACCAGCTGATTGCATCGACTCGTTGACTCTTCAGCAATCCCCCACACTAAGCATGCTTGTAGCGACAGTGGAGAGGAAAAACTCCCTTTGAACAGGAAGAAACCTCCAGCAGAACCAGGCTCAGTGTGAGCGGCCATCTGCTGAGGCCCACTGGGGTTCAAGGAGACAGAAGCAGACATAGAAAAAGAAGCATAGATACAAAAGGCAACTGTCAACCAGCTCCACAGGCGGCCCCGTCCAGGAAACACACAGCCAGGCAGACGAGCTCCGAGCCAGCTCCCATGTCAGAGGATGAAGAGAGCACATCCAGTTAGTCACAGTCAGAGAAACAGGACTACACTGGAAAACAGGCCGATCTCCAGCATCTAGGAACAAAGGTGTTGATGGCAGCAGCACAGCTGATATTTCTCTCCAGGATGGAGTCACAGCCAAACAGGAACAGACCAGATGAAGCTACTATGAGAAAAAGCAGAGAGAGCAGAACGTTAGAGATTGAACTAACAGATTCTGCAGAGTGGGAGAATAGAGATAGAATGAAGCAGAATGATGAAAAAGGGGTCCCTATGTCCTCCAGCAGTCTAAGCCTATAGCAGCAGAACTATAGAGATAGATCAGGATAACCTGAGCCACTCTAACTAGAAGCTTTATCAAAAAGGAAAGTTTTAAGCCTAGCCTTAAAAGTAGACAGGGTGTCTGCCTCACGGACTAAAACTGGTAGTTGGTTCCACAGGAGAGGAGCCTGATAACTAAAAGATCTGCCTCCCATTCTACTTTTAGAAATTCTAGGAACCACTAGTAAACCTGCGGATTGAGAGCGAAGTGCTCTGTTAGGAACATAAGGAACAATCAGATCTCTGATATCAGATGGAGCTTGGCCATTTAAGGTTTGGTTAAACCAGATGAAACTCAAACTTTTCCACTTAGGCAGTTCTGGATAGAGATTATTGACACACAAAAACTTTTTTAACTTAAATGCAAAATGATCTTATACATTTTTTGTACAATTTTGACATAATTACTGCTTTATGCGTATCGCTCTGTCAGCTAAAGGCATGTTTTAGTCTCTACTCACCAGTTTACCATTAATCGATTACTAAATTAGTTGTGGATTATTTCAATAATTATTTCACAATTAATCCAATTAATTGTTTCAGCCCTAGTTGCATCATATGGGTGATTTAGGGCTGAAGTTTTATTGATATCAAGTTTTTAGTCTGGTGAAAACTGATGCTAAAATAAAATCTTTATTAAAGGAATAGTACACCCAAAACATGATTAGCCTTCATTTTCTACTCACCCCCATGCTGAACAACACTCTGGAGTACTTTTTTGATATCTCAAATGCATCTGGAGATCTGGGAGGCTTCTTGCTGTCTGCTGACATTCAAATAATGGAGGTCTATGGCGCCCGAGACAGAAAGGTCCATAAAAGTCCACAAAACACGTGTCAATATTCCTCCATACTGCTCGTCCAATGTATTCCAAGTGTCCTGAGTGGGTAGCGTCCAGAATTTACTCGAAACGAAGTCATTTAGAATGTTTTTAGAGCATAAACAGTAGTGTATAGGATTTCCTAAAAGCGCGAGCCTGCGAGTTCACGACTCTACGGAAACCGCGGCAGACCAAACCAGATGAAAGTGCGCATTCAGCGTCTGCTCTGCCGATAATGCAAGCGTAGAAGAAGAAATGTGCCGTTTACCTGTGCAAAGAAAGAAACAACGAAAGAAAAATGTCTGCGGACTTCAGTGTTGAGGAAGAGCATGAGTTCTTTGCCGAGCTGAATGCGCACTTTCATCTGGTTTGGTCTGCCGCGGTTTCCGTAGACTCGTGAACGCGCTTTTAGGAAATCCTATACACTACTGTTTATGCTCTAAAAACATTCTAAATGACTTCGTTTCGAGTAAATTATGGACGCTACCCACTCAGGACACTTGGAATACATTGGACGAGCAGTGTGGAGGAATATTGACACGTTTTTTGTGGACTTTTATGGACCTTTCTGCCTCGGGCGCCATAGACCTCCATTATTTGAATGTCAGCAGACAGCAAGAAGCCTCCCAGATCTCCAGATGCATTTGAGATATCAAAAAAGTACTCCAGAGTGTTGTTCAGCATGGGGGTGAGTAGAAAATGAAAGCTAATCATGTTTTGGGTGTACTATTCCTTTAAACGCATCTTGTGAGTATTTGCACAACACCTGTTCACCATTTCTGATGCCTTCCTAATGTCTGATCTCAGCTTAAATGTGCAATAGAAGAAGGATAAATGAATGAAATCCTGCTACAAACCAAAGACGGTTCGCAGAGTAACTTTTAGGATTAATTTGTCTCAGGATAGCGACTATCTGCCTTCCTGAAACTAAACCTTCTGGTTATGCTGGGATCCAGCTCCAGGCTTATTCTGAGTCCTCCCGCTCTCTACTTTGACGTTCATAAGTCTTCCTCATTCCCCATCCAGATGAGACGCCAGACTGGGAGAAAGAGCTGCAGCAGGAACTCCAGGAGTACGAAGTCGTGACCGAGTCGGACAACAAAGACGACCAGTGGGATCAGGAGATCGAGAAGATGCTGCAGGCTGAGGACAGCTAGGAACCAGAACTCTGCCTACATTCTGGCTCAGAAGGAAAGCCCAGAATCCCTCACACAGTCGGGTTGATCCAGCTGTAGCAAAACAGCTTCTGTTCCGGGCAGAGCGAGTATTTTAATGAAGTACTGCTTAGTTTTATCTCCTCCTTTCCTTCCTTCCTGGCTACATCCTCTAGGGGGAGCTCTGGTGCAACTAATTACTTCCCCAGCAGGCATTTAGACTGCTGTCTGTAGAGGTGCACCAATCGGGGCTTCCTTCCACTTCCAGGAAGCGTTGCAGCTGTGCAGCATCTCAGCTTTGCACAGAGACAGAACTCAGCCTTCATCTTCAGACCTGAACTCCTTCAACTGTTTCAGCCTTTTGCTCTGAAATCATCTCTTAAGTTCAGCTGCCGCTCTCTGCTGGATGCATAGCGAGGAAGTTTAAATGTAAAATGAAAGAGTATGTAAATAAAAACAGCTGTAACACTATAATAGAAGTTAAATTTCCTTCATTATTAGATATATGATCTCGTACTAAATGATTCTTTAGCTGAAAACTGAACTTCTGCTGTGATTTTCTTTGCTTTCTTTAATAAATGTTGCCTGGTTTAATTAGAAACAATAATTTCCAATATTTGGTTGGATCCCATGAAGCCTTGAACTCCTAGATATCATCAGATGCTGCGTTTCCTCCTGTTTAAAGCTCTGCCAGCTCTTCACTGCTGCAGCCTTTAGCTGCTCTTTGTTTTGGGCCTTTTTTATTTTTATTTTCAACAAGTCAACAAAATGGACAGATGCACTGGAAAAACGACCTAGAAATAAGTAAAAGTTTCTTAAATTAAGTGTATTTACCCTTAATTTGAGCAGGTAAATGAGATAATTTGCCAATAAAATGAGTATTTTTACTCTTAAAATAAGATAATTAGATAAAATGCACTTGAAATAAGACAATGCAATTGTGTTTTCTTATTTTAAGTGTAAATTGTCTCGTTCCATTGGCAAAATGTCTTTTGTACCTCCTCAATTCAAGAACAAATGCACTTATTTTAGGAAAAAATGACTTATCTAGATTTAGATTTTTCCCAGTGTGGGATTTAAGCTTCATTTCAACACACAATACATTTCTGAACACCTCGATCTTCTGTTATCACCAATAAACTGTCAGACCATCACTCTGCCTCCGCCGTGCTTTGCTTTGGATCATGAGCTTTTCCATTTTGATTTAAACAGTTTTGTTTTTCTCTTGCCACACTGGAAAAACGATCTAGAAATAAGTAAAACATTTCTTAAATTAAGTGTATTTCCCTTAATTTGAGCAGGTAAATGAGATAGTTTGCCAATAAAATGCGTATTTTTACTCGTAAAATAAGATCATTAGATAAAATGCACTTGAAATAAGACAATGTAATTGTGCTTTCTTATTTTAAATGTAAATCGTCTTGTTCCATTAGAGAAACCTCCCTTCTACCTTCTCGATTCAAGAACAAATGCACTTATTTTAAGAAAAAATAGCTAATAGCTATACTGCAAAAAAAAAAGTAATCCAATTACATTTTGTCTTGAATTGAGGAGGTAAGTGAGACACTTTGCCACTGAAACAAGACAATTTACATTTAAAATAAGAAAAAATATATATTGTCTTATTTCAAGTGCATATTATTTAATTATGTTATTTTAAGAGTAAAAATACTCCATTGGCAAATCATCTTATAAAACACTTTATTTAAGACATTTGTACCTATTTATAGATCGTTTTTTGCAGTGCGCCTATGTAGGATGTCGATAAATTGATTGGCTGTGGTGGAGAGGTTTCTTATCACCATGGCAACGACTCTGCGGTCATCCACCGCTTATATCCACCATGAACATCCAGGTCTACACTGCAAAAACGATCTCAAAATGAGTAAAAATTTCTTAAATTAAGTGTATTTACCCTTAATTTGAGCGGGTAAATAAGATGATTTGCCAATGGAATGAGTATTTTTACTCTTAAAATAAGCTATCTAGATATTATGCACTTGAAATAAGATAATGCAATTGTTTTTTTCTTCTTTAAAGTGTAAATTGTCTTGTTCCATTGGCAAAGTGTCTCACTTCAATCCTTAATTCAAGAAAAAATGCACTCAGTTTAAGAAAAAATGACTTATTTAGATTTTATTTTTTTTGCAGTGTATGCACTGCAAAAAATAGAAATCTCAATAAGTTATTTTTTCTTCAAATAAGTGTGTTTTTCCTTGATTTGAGGAGGTAAGTAAGACACTTTGCCAATGGAACAAGACAATTTCCTTTTAAAATAAGAAAAAACTATTTAATCGTCTTATTTCAAGTAAATATTATCTAACTATCTTATTTTAAGAGTAAAAATACTCATTCCATTGGCAAATCATCTTATTTACCTGCTCAAATTAAGGCTAAATATACTTAATTTAAGCCATTTTTTTACTTATTTCTGGATTGTTTTTGCAGTGTGCATTTTATCTTTTAAAATAATATCAAAACACATAAATTTCAAGCTAATTAAAAGAAAATTGACTCTAAAAACATATTTACAGTTCTTTTAATGTCCTTCTTATCCATCCTATAAAAAACACTAAAGCCTTTAAGACTGGCATTTATTTTGTAGTACATTATTTAGGTCTTTGTATAGATTTTAGCCACTTTAAGAGCCAAACAGCTACATGTGGCTCTGGAGCCGTAGGTTGCAGACCGTTGCTCTACATGATCTGGTTGAATTGTCTCTGTAAAGTGACATGTTGAGAATCTGCGCTTTATAAATAAACTGAACTGATTAAAAATGTCGTATTTGGTCAAGAATCTACATGTTGGGGAAGCAGAAAACAGATGACAGTGATGTCAGAGGTGCAGAAACCACAAAGAGAACAGACATGTTCTGTCTTATTCATCAGTCGGCAGTTATACCACAAACACCCACAAGAGGATCCAGTCTTCCTCCCGTTTGTTTCCCCTCACCCATCATTTCTGTCTCCTCTGACTGTTTTATTTTACAGAAACCTGCTGTATCCAGTAAATGTGTTGTTTCTGATATTTCCTTTATGCTTCATAAAGACCCGTAACCCAGGCGGTAATAAAAAAAGTGTAAAAACAGTCTCTCTTTTTGTTTCATTTTTTATTTATGGCAGTTTTATGACACCTTGAGGAGCGGTTTTAAAGAGAACAGGAGATTAAGCAATGTTTGTCATTTTACCACAAGTCTGAGCACGTTCTTCTCTCCAGGCGACCTCCGTTCAACACGGCCGCTAATGGAAGAACTCAGAGATGGAAGAGAAGAAAGTCTTTGGAGGGAAGGAGTGAGTCAGCCAGTAAGGAATGATAGAATACTTATTTATGGTCGTAGAAAGTCTGTAATCTAGAAAAAAAAGCTCTGCTTGTTTGGTCCAAACAGGCAGCCAGACCTGCCTCAGCATGCTGCCTGCTTTCCTACATGAGAGGCTGGGAACAGATGCCAGACAGTCTGCAGGATCTAAATCTCACTTTTCAGCACAAAAAAACACTACAAAGGAAGTAAAATCTCATTTAAAAACAATCAATATAAAGATGGATAGAGCCAAGCACAGTGAACGTGAGCAGGAGCCATGCTGTCTCCTTCCTTCCTTGGCTTGAGGATCAGATGCAGGTAGATTAATGAGCAGACATATTAATGGGGGGGGATTCCCTCTTTGTTTTGTTCCTCATTCTTACCCCGACAGCCTCCTTCTGCAGCATCACAGCCGGGGCCCACCAGCTGCTCTCGTGGAGAAAAAGCACCGGTCACCATGGCGACAAAGCCCAGCAGACGAGGGCCCATGTGGGCGCTTTCATGGCCCGTGTGTGATGTTGTTTTAACAGGGTTTTAATAATGCATAGAGGTAGACCTGTGTGTCATTCTGCGTCTGCATTCCAGACAAAGAACCTGAATACGTGGCTGATAGGAAACAATTAGAGTAGAAGAATTGTTGAACACATCAATGGTTTCCTCCATACATACATTTACCATTTGGAGTGACCATATAAATAAGATAGAAGGACAAAGAAAACAGGCATAAAAGACAAGAAGAAAATCTGGTTTAAATACATGAAAAACAAAAAAAAATTATGAAAAGTCTCTGTTTTTTGAAAGTAATTTGTTCTTCCATTCATATCAATTAACATCTAATTGTTTAGGCCTCACTGTTGGATTAGAAAAAGGCTCATTGAGTTAAATGGATTGCCTTGGAAGCATTTCACAACAACATACACTGGAAACAAATCGAAATCTAGATAAGTCATTTTTTCTTAAAATAAGTGAAATTTTCTTGGATTAAAGAGATAAAAGAGACATTTTGCTAATGGAACAAGATAATTTACACTTGAAATAAGAAAACACATTTGCATTGTCTTATTTCAAGTGCAAATTATCTAATTATCTTATTTTAAGAGTAAAAATACTCATTCCATTGGCAAACTTTCTCATTAACCTACTCAAATTAAGGATAAATTCACTCAATTTAAGCCATTTTTTACTTATTTCTAGATCGTTTTTCCAGTGTAATAGTAAGGTGGTTATGTAGAGAGCTTTTCTTACACTGGAAAAACGATCTAGAAATAAGCAAAAAATTTGTTAAATTTAGTGTATTTACCCTTAATTTGAGTAGGTAAATTAGATCATTTGCCAATGGAATGAGTATCTTTACGCTTAAAATAAGATAATTAGATAATATGCACTTGAAATAAGAAAATGCAATTATTTTTTCTTATTGAAAATGTAAATTGTCTTTTTCCATTGGTAAAGTGTCTCTTTTACCTCCTCAAACCAAGAATAAATGCACTTATTTTAAGAAAGAATGACTTAGATTATTTCCTGTGTCATTAAAAGACTTTAGCACTAAAACCACATTCACACTCATACGACATCAGGGAACCTGCGTAAATGTGCCTTGCCCAATGACACACTGACATGTTGGTTACAAAACTGGAGTTAAACCTACAAAGTAAATATCTCTCAACCTCAGCAATCTCAACTTCTACCCATCCTTATTTTCCCAAAACAAACAGCTGGTCTTGGTTTCGGTTTCTACATGTCTGCCTGATCTCCGTCTACAACAGAAACCATGATATGAAGTAAATAATTAGACAATAAACCAAGAGACTAAGGCTGAAATCCAAAAACATAAATCTTCAAAATCCAAAAATACTGAAAACCAGAAATACTCACAAAGGGGCAAAGAAATGAGGATGCGGCCAGAAATACTGTCATTAGTTGTTCTTTAATAAGAATCTAAAGAAGAATCAAAGATTAAGATTTACTTAACAGCAAAGGTGGATGATTACAGTTACAGTTACTTTTTTTTCTTCAAAAATATACTTTAAAGAGTAGTTTAAAGTACTTTTAATTATTAGTTGAGTACTGTCTAAATAAATATTCTATTCTTACTTCACAGGAAAAAAAT